ATGTATTTAAACAAACATTTTAGAATTTTATATATAAATATATATGTTGTGCAACTTCTGTAGAGTTCACCAAAGCTTTCGCCTCAAGCAACTTTAAGAATTTGATCCTCCAGTCACCTTCGGCAACGAAGAGCAGTATATATGCTTATACACATATATGTGTGTGTGTTAACGCATACACACATAAATGTATTAATGTTAATGTATGTGCACATGCATATATATATGTATATCTATGTATTTACTTATATATATATATGTTTGTGTGCTAATCCATATGTAAATGTATATGTACATATTTGTAAGTATAAATGTAAATGTATATTAGTATTTATATACACATATATATGCATATATGTATGTATATAAATACATAAAAATAAGTGTATAGCTTCGCATATACATACATATACACATATGTATATGCATCGCTTTTGTGATCTTCAGTGATTCTATGTAGACGAATGGCGGATTGAATATTGACAGCTTCGTGGAGCTATAGTTTTTGTGAAATCTACAGAATTTCTGCCACCACTTATGCTGTCAGGACGAGCGAGGTCTCTCCCCAGAGTCGTCTGCAGTGGTTGTCCCAGGTGTGTGCATCCAGGTCGGCCTGACGACACGACCAGTTTGGAAAGTGCGCTCAAACCAGGCCCATAGAACAGCCAGTCTTTCAGGCCAGACCGTCTCGGTTTAGAGAATTGTCTTTTCTGCAGTTTAGACTGTCGCAAGCGCGGAATGCACAAGCATTGGCTTTTGGTGGGTTGATCGAGGCTGATGACTTTTGATTTTGTCAACTTGACGCCATCCGACTGGGCCCAAGTGACGCTTTACCGGCAAGCCTCGGGGCTGTATGTGCTTGAAGGCATCAGTTTGCTATTCTCACTTGCCAACCCGATCGCATGACAAGCCTCATGTCACTTTTAATTACTCTCCCCGTCGACTTGTGCCAAAAACACGCCTGGCCACGAGGTGAGGCGAGCGTTTGCATTTTGAAGACTTCAACTGACTGTCCTGTCGACGGATTGCACCGAACCCTGCCGAGGGGGAACGACAGGCTTGACTGTATTAATTTGGGCAGATCGGCATGTGCACCTTTCACGATCGCCGATCGCCGATCGCTGGCTCCTCGGGTTGGCGTGAAAACTTGTTTATGTCAGTTGGAAAGTGAGAAGAGTATTCTGTGAAAAAGGCTCACGCGAGGCCTTAAGGGGTGTCACATTTAGTGCACATTTGGCGATATTTGGCAACCGATCGGTCGGCAACACATCCATCCATCTAGTCATCTGTCTGTTTGTCCATGTATCCATCCTTCTGCCAAAATACCCACCCCCCCTCGCCCCACCTGGGCATTTAGACTTCTGTCTATCCTTAGGATTGTCCACTTGTCTGTGTGTCAACGAGCCTGGGTCTGCATCATCTTCCACTCTCCAGTTCCATCCTACGACTGGCCCGTCCATTTATGTCGCCATAAATGCAACCACCACCTTGTCCGCTTGGCCCGATTCTGATGTGCGAAAAGTGACAAGAGCTGATAGAAAAAGTACACTCTTAATGCCTTACAGACACATCTTTGACCGGTCATTAGAACTCTAAAGTGGACTAAGCCTCAACTCGACTCTGGCACAAAGTGATCTTATGGGCTAAGCCACAAAGCGGCCTCTCTCAAACAATATGCTAGAGTACATCACTTTGTGTGGCAATG